CAAAGGCCAGCATCATTCTAAATGGAGAAAAATTGAAAGCATTCCTGCTAAAAATTGGAACAAGACAAGGATGTATTCTTTCACCACTTCTATTGAACACCATTTTTGAAACTTTAGCTAGAACAATTAGACAAAACGAAGAAATTAAAGAAGAACTCCAACTACAACTATTTACTGATGACATGATTCTATATCTAGAAGATCCAAAAATTCCACCAGAAAACTTCCAGAACTAGTAAGTGAATTCAGCAAAGTAGCAGGACAAAAATCAACACCCACAAACCAAATACATACCTATTCATCAGCTATGAATTCACTGAAAGAGAAATTAGGAAAATTACTTCATTCACAATAGCCTTAAAAACAAAACAAAACAAAACAAAAACCTGGGAATCAATCTAACAAAAGAGGTGAAAGACCTTTACAATGAAAACTACAGATACTAAAGAAAGAAACTGAAGAAAGCCTCAGAAGATGGAAAGATCTCCCATGCTCCTGGATATGCAAAATTAATACTGTTAAGTAGCCATACTACTAAAATCGTTATACAGATTTAATGCAATTTCTATTAAAGTCCCAATGACATTCTTCACAGAAATAGAAAAAGCAATCATGAAATTTATTTGGAAAAATAAGAGACCCAGAATAGCTAAAGCAATCCTTAGCAAGAAATGTGAAGCAGGAAGCATCACAATAACAGACTTTAAACAATACTATAGAGCTATAGTAACAAAAACAGCATGGTATCGGCACCAAAAATATACTTGTTGACCAATGATACAGAATAGAGGACAGAGACAAACCCACATAAATATGGTTATCTCATATGACAAGGGCTCAAAAAATTTATTGGCGAAGATAGCCCTATTCAACAAATGGTGCTGGCAAAACTGGAAATCCGTATGTAGCAAAATAAAATTAAACCTCTATCTGATCCTGCACAAAAATCAACTCCAAATGGATCAAAGACTTAGGCACTAAAACAGAGACCCTGCGCCTAATAGAAGAAAAATTAGGCTCAAATCTTCACCACATTGGCCTAGGATCCGACTTCCTTAACTTTAAGCTTTTATAATCTCAGATTTCTCTTATGTAAACTGCCAAAGACAAAAACAACAAAAAAAACAACAAAAAACAAACCAAACAAACAAAAAAACAAAACCCATTAACTTATAGGGTTGTTTTGAGGAATGAGTTAATATATAATGTACTTAGATTGATGCTTAGCCAATAATAATGTTATATGTAAATAGATAGCTATTCCATGCCTGCTGTGTTGTAAGTTCCTGAACTTTGAACTTTTTGAATATTCCGTTTGTTGGGCTTTGAATCAGGAAACAATGTGTGAACTATGTAAAACAGAACTTTCAATGTTAGGCTCTAATTATGTTCACCTTTAAATTCAGTTACATCCTTGGAACTTCTATGTAAGATAATACTCATATATCTGGGTTAAATATCTCAGTTCCATCACAATCCTGACTACTTACCACAAAAAGGAATCTATACTTTTTTTAAAAAAATGAGGTATACAGAATTGAACACAATTGTTAGTATAATTGCAGCCTTCTTCCTTCTTCCCACCCCCACTTTATGAATACTATTCTTATTCCCAAGAAATATAAAGCAGCCCAAGATAAAACCTACTGGCCTGGAGACATGCTGATCTCTCCCTGTTCTCTTAGTGAGAGATAGGAGACAACTTACTGGCCCCTGAAATGGGGATGTACTGCTTTCCCTGTTCTCTCCTTGATAAGATAAAGAGACATGCCAGTTTCCCTGTTCCCCCTTTGAGACAGGAAAAGTGCCTGTCTCTGTTCCCAAGAAACAAACTTGCCTTCCACAAGATCAGGAGATGCTTACTATGTCAGTCAAGACTAAACCTGCCTCTAGCACGTAGCCATGATTCTACCTATAAAAGTAACATTCAAGGGGGTGTTGCCGCTGCTCTCTCTCGCTTGCTGCTGCTGTCCCTTTCTATGTGCAGAGCTGCCTTGTCAGGCTCCTGACAATAAATCCACTTCTTATCCCAGGTGTGTGTGATCAGTCCTACCCCACTTTTCTTCCAACAATATTCTAAATATAGCCAGTACTGGACTTGAACCATTAATCAGTAGATTTGTAAACTATTCTTATGTCCCGTGGAGAGCAATACTTCCCCACACTTAAAACCACTGACATAAATTATAGCACTGGAGAACTTGCTTTAGGTCAACACAAATCTTCTCCCCAATTGCCTGCATTAGTTGAAGGTTGTATCATCTCTTTCTCAAATTATAAGAATCCAAAATCCGATCTCTCTGCTTCTTGTTAAATATTCCTTAAATCTATCCCCTTTATATTACTGCCAATGTTTTTGAAATGCAAATTTGACTTGAAAACTCTTCAATGGGCTCTCTTCTACCTACAGAAAGTAAACTAAATATAGCATACATGACACAGTATCTGTCAAGTTTTAAACCTCATTCTCCTACCACCATCCGTATGGAAATACTTAACATTTGCCTTATGCTGCCTGGTATGCCTTTTCTTTAATGATGATTGCCAAAATCAACCAGTCTTCAGAACATCTCAAGCATATACTTTATAAAGGCATCCCCAAACCTCAGCTAACATTTATTCACTTAATCAACAAAACATTAACTGACTTTCTACTTATGCCAGGCAACAGGAACACAGCAATGAACAGACTTAAGTCCTAGTCTTCAACATTCTCATGGGGATGTGAGAAGTATGTGCATGTCGATATACAATTTCAGACGGCTATCAGTGTTGTGAAGAAAATGGAAAATGGAAGGTTAGGACATAGGAAGCAAGGGAGGAGAAAAACTTTATGGTAGGAGGTCAGATGACATTTGACAAACTGGGGAAAAGAGAGAACAACGGGCACAAAGACCTTAAGGCGAGGATGAGCTTGGTAGTTAGACAAACAGAAAGGCCTGTATAACTTTTATGCTCAGTTTGCATTTTATTTCAAGTGGAATAGGAGCTCTGAAGGTTTCAGATGGAATCTGACATAATCCCTCTAGTTAATGTAAAAATGGGTTCTACTGGGACAAGAACAGAGACACAAAGTCAGGCATGGTGGTGCACACCTGTAATTCCAGAGACCTGGGAGGCTGAGACAGACAGATCACAAGTTCGAGGCCAGCCTTAGCAACTTGGTGAGATCCTGTCTCAAAGTAAAAAATAAAAAGGGCTGAGGATGTAGCTCAGTGGTAAAGCAGCCCTGGGTTCAATCCCCAGTACAAAAAAAAAAAAAAAAAAAACAAAGCTATTGAAAACAGGCTAGGTGAAAATTATGATGGTTCACACTTCAGTACTAGTGGTAATGGAAGAAGTTGTCAGTATCAAAACATAATCTGAAGGAAGAGGCTTGCTGATGTGCTGGAGATGGAGTGTTGAAAGAAAATGAAGGATGTTCTTTATATCTTTTATACACAGTTATTTAACCTATTACCTATATCACAATAATTTTTAATATGTTCTTTTTCTCTGATAAATTAGAAGTAGCATATTATAGCCAAAAGGTAGTTATCAAATTTTGCAAGCTTTAGGATTAAGTCTGGGAGTTAAAAAAGAAGACTCAAAGAAAACTGACATTTTTCTGGTGGTGCTGGGGATGGAACTTAGGGCTTCATATGGTAGGCAAGGGCTCTCCTACTGAGCTGCATCCCCAGTTCCAAACTGACATGTTTGAGGAAATGATTTTAATAGTAACTCCTGCTAATATTTACTAAGCACATACTATGTGCCAAGCACTGTTTTTAGTTTCACAGGAATCAAGTCTCCTAATCCTCATAAACCACAATGTACTATTATATCTTATTACAGGTGTGCAAAATGAGATCTCACAATTACTAAGTGGTGAGCCAAGTATAACCTTTTCTACCTTAGGAACCCTCACTCTAAAGCAGTACTCATTAGCTGCCTCTATGCCTAGATTGCCCGAGAGTTCAGCCTTACACGTTACTGCACTTATGGTTATGGAGCGGAAACATTTACTGAATCAATTAATGATTTCTCTGATTCTTAGGATCCAGCAGTAAAAGCAGGAATCGCGGGGGGAGGGGGCACTGAAAGCAACACGATTCACTTTCTTAATTTGGCTTGGGTACACTCTATTTAGGCTGTGGCAGCTATGTGTAGCTGAAGGTCATAGGGAGAGGGGCGGGGCATAGAAGACATCAAAACCAGTTTCTGGTCTAGTAAGATACTTATTCTCTTAAAGTCTTTGTCATTAGGTGATATGATAATGTTCCTGGCAGTTACAGGAACATGTTTGAAGTGTCTCAAAATTATGCAAAAAGGTAACATCTGACCTAAAGCTAAGAGGAAGAAACAGAGAATGGAACGAGGTGGTAAACAAGGGCAAAAGGGAGAACTACACTCCTCATACTTACCCTGGTCCTAGGACTGCTGCATTCTTGAGACAGGGGGCTGCAGATACAGAAGATGCAGGTAAGCAAAGTCAATATGAAATTTAGTTTGCCCCGTGCTCAGTCTCCGAGAGGCCGGAACACTACAAGCCGTGCACCATTTTCCAGTGCCCCGAGACCCTGTGCCCTCTTCCCCGTGCCGTGCCGCGATTACTCCCCTCTCAGGCCCAAATGTCGCTCCGCTTTTCTCACCCACTTTCCCCCTCCCTGTGACCTCTAGACACTCTTCTTTCCAATTACCCCGCTAGCCCAGACCCGGGTCTACACCCCTCACCTGCTTTGGCGGCGGCAGAAAGTACCACCCGGGAGAGCATGGTCACCAAAAGTCCCCGCACCAGGCTTCGTGTCCCTGTGACCCCAAGCAGAGACTGTCAGGGGCAGGAGGAAGATGGCCGCTTACAAGTCTCGCGAGAAGAGAATATCGCGCCCTCTTCAGCTTTCCTCCGGCGATTTCCCCCCCCCCCCGCCCTTCTTCTTCTCGCGAGAATAGGTACAATGCTCTGAGAACCTGTAGCGGGAGGGCGGCCGACCGAAAGAAGGATGCAAGTATAGAAGCAATTATCGCGAGAAGTAGAGTTGCCGTCGCTTCCAGAGGGGCGGAGGCCCGGAGGTGCACCACGTGTGGGTTGCTGCTCTAGCTGAATCGCGGAGACTTACAGTTTGGGTTTAGGTTGGATTTGGAACCGTGGAGATGCGAAAGGAAACGCCGCCCCCCCTAGTAGCCCCGGCTGCCCGGGAGTGGAACCTTCCCCCTAATGCGCCCGCCTGTATGGAACGGCAGTTGGAGGCTGCGCGGTACCGGTCTGGTGAGCCGAGATCCCGGGCCTGGGAGCTCCCACGCCCCGGCCCCGGGGCGCCCCACCCTGGACTGACCCTCCCATCCCGCCCCGTCCCACGTGCCGTCCTGATCCTTGCTTTGCGCCATCGAAGTGTCCCAACCCCGCCCCACAGTCCCGAGCTCCGATCCAGACCCTGCCCGCGTGCTGTTCTGTGCGGTCACCATGGAGACGAGCCCATCCACCCCTGTCACGCTGATAGATTGTACCCCCCCTAGATGGGGCGCTTCTGCTCGGGGCCTCCAGCCTGAGTGGCCGCTGCTGGGCTGGCTCCCTCTGGCTTTTCAAGGACCCGTGTGCTGCCCCCAACGAAGGCTTCTGCTCCGCTGGAGTCCAGACGGAGGCCGGAGTGGCCGACCTCACTTGGGTCGGGGAGAGAGGTATCCTCGTGGCTTCTGATTCAGGTGAGGTCATTCCCTTTATCTTCCCCACCACGCCCCGCCCAGATGGAATGTAGGCTTAGGGTCCAGCTGGGATCAATCTTTGATTTCCCCTTACTCAGTGCTTGGAGGAGCTGACAGTGTTGCTCCAGACGCGAACTAGGTGAAAAGCAGCTAAGAATGTTGTTCCAAACGCGAACTCTAGTGTAGATGAAAAGTATGTTTTTCCAGTTCTAAAATTGCCTGATGGGGGTTCCTAGAAAAATCCATAATAAAATTAAGAAACAGTTTGTAATCTCTCTGACTTCCGCAGCCCAGACCAAGGATAATCTTGATTTTGAAGATGCTGCTGAAGTCAGACTGTCATCCCATTTCTTCCCTTTTTCTTTTACTTCTCTCCATTCGGCAGTTTTGTTTTGAATGTCAGCCTCAGCAATGGAGGGGTTGGCATTTAAAAAACGCCACATTTAGAAGTTGGCAGGCATTGATCAAATGTAAAAGTAGGACACTAAAGATCGAGCATCTCTGACAGTTGAACTTGAATATGAAGACTGCATGACATTTATTGAAATAGTTCAGCAAATATTAGTGTCTGATTAATTGGGAAGGGTTAACATCAGTGGACTGTGTAGACAATTATGTAGACTTCATCCTGGAAACTGATTTTCCAGTGTTCTCTCACTGGAAGGAGAAGAGTGGATTTCAAAGACTAGTTCAGCATTCCCTGCCTTTTTCTAGCAGCTCTCCCCACATAGTTGACTAGGCTGTTATTTGCAAAACAGAAAGGCAGGATAAAACCAAATGACCTGGAAGTTGGCTAGCTAAGTCCTCAATGTGAACTTTGCTATTATAGGAATAACTTTGTTAGTTTAGTGACAATGGCTGCTTGAATCCTAGATGTGAATTACTGTCTTTGTATGATCCAAGCTCATGTATCCTCACCCCTTCATCTCACCCAACTCCATCCCCAACAGGTGCTGTTGAATTGTGGGAGCTGGATGAGAATGAGACACTTATTGTCAGCAAGTTCTGCAAGTATGAGCATGATGACATTGTGTCTTCAGTCAGTGTCCTGAGCTCTGGCACACAAGCTGTCAGTGGTAGCAAAGACTTCTGGTGGGTCTCAGTTCTCATCATTCCTGTTTCTTAAGCTTCCTTTGGGTGTCTTTAGTGTCCTCTTAATCTCATTAAGTAATGTTTGGCGCTCAATATAAGAACCCAATGACTAATTTGTAGCATGTTTATAAGATTTCCTTAGAGATTTGACAATCTGTTGTAAATAGACAATGGTGGGAATCCAGGAGGCAAAGAAATGGGACATGTTGGGTAAAGGAAGTTCATATTTGCATTGATAGTATATGTCAAGATTAAGTTTCTGTTTTCTGTTTCTTTTGCTTTTTAGCATCAAGATTTGGGACCTTGCTCAGCAGATAGTTTTGAATTCATATCGAGGTATGTATTGCTTCCTTGCCTGGTCTTAGCTGTCTTGTTTTTATTCAATCATTTGGGATCTTTAAACTTTGCTTAGATATTAGGATGATTTTTGTTTTTCTGCCTGATAGCTTTTTTCCTAAAACTGTAGTCAGTCTTCAGGACCTACTCCATATCTCTTTCTCAATTACCTTATTTCTGTTACTACATAGCTACATAAGGTTCACATTCTGTCCTCTTCTACTCCTCCTATTTCCCCACTATCAGCTGTTCACCAAGGTCTTTTGAGTCTTTTTCAATTTGGTCAATTACCTTCTTATCCATCTTTTATGCCCGATTCAGTTTTAGGCTTTGCCTTCTACAAATGGTGGTTCATCTCTCCATCTATAATCTTTGGCTTATCGGTCCTTTATTGTTTTCTTGCAGATTGAAGTCCCATTTTCTTGTTGGGACATTCAGGCCCTTTTGCTGTCATTCTTCCTTCCAGAATACTGCAGTAGCTTAATTCAGGTGTAGTAGACTCTTGACACTCTCATGGAATAAGCCCTGAGATTTTAAATATTGAATTTTTTTGAATATTCATGTCCATAAATAGTCTGCTTTCTGGAGTGTGCCATTAATGTGTGTGCTGTTCTTTAATGTTGCTCTTTTTTATTAACAGTGTTAGCAGTTGACTTTGTTTGGTTAGCCATTTTTTAAAATTGTTTTTTAGTTATAGGTGGGCACAGTATCTTTATTTTATTTTTATGGGGTATTAAGGATCAAAGCCAGTGCCTCACCCGTGCTAGGTGAGTACTCTACCTCTGAGCTACAACCCCAGCCCCAGGTAGCCCTTCTTTATAAAATAACAGCTAGAGCTTTGATATATGTTTGGCTATGAATTTAGAATCATTGTAGTTCTTTCAAGGGCTTAATTCCTTTACCTTCTACTTCTAGTTTCTACGTGCTTAATTCAGCATGGGCCCAAATAAAATCCTGTACTTGAAAATAGTGATAGGTAGTCAAACAATAAGTGTTAGTGCTTAAAATCTCCTATACTTTTTTTTTTTTTAGTACCAGAGATTGAACCTGTGGCACTTAACCACTGAGCCACATCTTCAGCCCTTTTTGTTTTTTTCATTTTGAGGCAGGGTCTTGCTAAGTTGCTGAGGCTGACCTTGAACTTGGGATCCTGATCCCCCTGTCAGCCTCCTGAGCTGGAATTACAGGCCTGTGCTACAATGCCCGAATTGCTTTTTATTTCTTGAATATATGGTATATTCTTGGTTAATTCTAACTTTTGGGGGGCACATTCCCCATTTCATCTTCTTCATCAGTACTTTGTGTTTATGTCTTATTCCCCCGTGAATTCCAAGTCCTTTGAGGTAGAGGAATCATATATTCTTCATCTTTTGTATATTGCCATGGTGTTTGTCCAGAGCTTTGCTTTTTTTCAAGTGAGCATATATTCCTTTTCTGACTTAACCATCCTATTGTCTTTCCATGAGTTCTAGGGCTAGGAAACAACTATGGAAGGTAGTTTAATCCTTGAGACGAGGCTACATTCAGACTACCTTGGAAATTCTGGTTGAATGACTTTAGATATGGTAGTTTTTACAATCTCTAGTTAACAAGTAGCAATGATTTGAAAATTTTTCTGCATGTAGATCTCTTAATAAGATTAAAAGCTACACTTCCTTATATATTTTTTAAATTGATACCTAGAAGATTTTGAGTTTTTAAGTAGTTGCAAAGAAGGTAATTTCTGGCATATGATTTATTGTATGCTTATTCCAAACATAGATTTGTCAAAATTTTGGATTTGCAGAGTAAACTCATTTATGTAAAACATCTATCAAATAACCTAATGGCAAAAAACAATCTGCATTGTTAAATCAGTTGGCCAAATTCAACTTCATTTTCTATCAGAAAAAGTCTGACTTCATTTATAAATAGAGAAGCTTATTAAATGTGTCTTTATGACAACCATCTATCTTATTTTTCATTTCTCATTATTAGAAACAGGGAGATAAGTTAAAACTTGTGGTGTAGCTGAAACAAGATCAGTCCCCTTTACTGAATTTTACCTAGATACTTTTTTTGTTCTTTGGCTCTTAGGGAAAATTTCCTTTTGACACTTAGTTTGGGACTCTTATTAGATTTTTATACACCTGAGCATTGTACCATGGGAAGATTTGGGCTGGGCAAGAGGTATATGTTCCTTTTATAAATTGTTTGGAGGGTGATTTTGAAAGTACAGACAGTTCAATTTTAGGAAAGAAAACATGGGAGGAATTGATTTGCTTAAAACTCTCAGCATCCACAACTGCCTTGAAAGTTTTTGTATATTACTCGAGGTATGTGTATTCCAGTATGAAAACTGCTTTCCTGGAATTATTTAGCTCCTACATTCATGATATTCTAATTGAGAATGCCTTCACTGTTCTTACCAAGGCTCTAATTTCTCCTTCGTCATCTTTACTAATTCACTTTTCTTCTGGCTCTTTTAGGTTGTATAATTTATCAACCTTTTCTCTTAGATTTGTCTAATCTGTAAGCCCCCACAAAAATGTTAAATTGGATCATGAGACCAGGTCTGTTTTTCACACCCTCTTGCCCCTTGATTTTATCTAGGCTGGCCTTGTAATATTCCCTGTCTCTTCTCTGTCATGTATCTCTCTGTCCTTTACAGCTCATGCTGGACAGGTCACCTGTGTTGCTGCCTCTCCCCACAAGGACTCCATGTTTCTTTCCTGCAGTGAGGTGAGATATAACCTCTTTCCTCCAACCACAACCTGTCCAACAGCTGCTTCTTTAGATTCTGAAGCCTTTTTTTCGGTTTCTTCTCCTAGGATAATAGGATTTTACTATGGGATACCCGCTCTCCCAAGCCAGCATCACAGATAGGTGAGTCTGAGAGCCAGAGGTGGGAGGCTGGGCCTAGAAAGCTACCTGGAAGAGCCTTTTTTTTTTTTTTTTTTTGCCAGAATCAAAGCAAAGTTTCTAGGTACTCAGTCACAGTGACATAGTGATATGATCTCCTTTCTTGCTGGGGCTCTGCTAACTTCATTCTGTGCAATGAGTATCAAGAAGGGCTGGTTCCTGGGTGGGCAATTTACTCTGCAAAGCTGAACAAAGAGGCTAGAATTGTTATTTTATGCATTCTGCTTGAAACTTTCCTGTGACTCATGCCCACAAACAGCAGAAAACTGATGGATAAATATAGGTTATTAGATTCAAGGAAGAGGACATGACTGCATAAGGGATTGGGAAAAAGAAAAATAGTGCTCCTGGGATTTAGAGTGACTGCTTTGAGAAATTGTTTCTTCTGAATTCTGTTCCAAACCTCTCTTCTCATTTTTTGCAGGTTGCAATGCCCCTGGCTACCTTCCTACCTCCCTGGCTTGGCATCCTCAACAAAGTGAAGTCTTTGTCTTTGGTAAGGCAGCGTGCTGGATTGCATATTGACTCTGGGAAGGGGAGGATGAGGAAGAGCTAATCCATGTTGCACGTACTCTTGCTACATGATGTCACTGATTCATTTGGATACTAGATAAATTGTGCTCATTTTAGTTTAACCTTGGAGATGATGATTTTTTTCCCCAGTTGATTGGATTCCTGATTACTCTGGCTCCCCTATTCTGGGCATGGCTAGAAATTAGCCACAAAGTGAGTGGATTGCTAGGTAGTGTATTTTGTTCTACTGTGGGTGGTATGGTGCTGTGATGGGAAGGAGGCTTGCATATTGTAACAATTTGGGACTAAAATCATAACTACTTCATCTTAATTTTTTATGGCCAGCCAGTGACTTATTGTTTCCACTTTGCTAAAGAGGAAACCAATGCTCAGAGTGGTTAACTTATTCAAGCGTGAGAAAGTAGGATTCAAATCTCGTTCTGGCTCACCCCAAAGTCCATACTTTTAATCACTTGTGACATGCTCTCTTATATAGGTGATGAGAATGGGACTGTCTCCCTTGTGGACACCAAAAATGCAAGCTGTTCCCTCAGCTCAGCGGTGCACTCCCAGTGTGTCACTGGGCTGGTCTTCTCCCCACACAGGTACTGTTCTTTGTCATCAGAGGTCTGGTGGATATGAACGGGCTGGTGAGGGGGGTGTGGGGGATGCGTATGTTGGCAAAGCATTAGAAGATATGATTGTTCTGTAAGGTAGGCTGTGCTCTAGCTGAGTTTTCCAAGTATCAAAGATCTCTTGAGACTGTAGTTGCTTATTTGGGTTGTACAGACTGTAGGTTCCTTATTTGGGTTTTCTGAAAATGGCTGAAATATGATCTCATTCTTGCTCAACACCCAAAATGATTAAAATTTTGGGGTTCTAGGACTGTGTGGTTGAAAAAGCCTGGGTTCTTGCTAAAACAGTAGAAGGACCAGATGGGATGGTTCATTGCCAGGATGATTGTGAACCCTGGTTTTGCTCCAATTCCCTTATCTTTCCCTGGAACTTGGTAGTGAGACTTTAACCAAGAGTGAGAATCAGGCTGCCTTCTCCTCTGGGTCAGTTTACAGTTGGCTGGGACCAGCCCATTTGGGGCTTTGTCTTAGAGTTGTGGACTTTACTTTTCATGTCCTTCTGTGCCCTCTCCTAGTATTCCCTTCCTGGCTTCTCTCAGTGAAGACTGCTCACTTGCTGTGCTGGATTCAAGCCTTTCCGAAGTGTAAGTGTAACAGGAGGGCTACACATCTGGGAGGAGGAACAATGGACAAGGAGGTCCTTTTTCTCTTTTAAAAAGTGCATTGCCTCTTTGGAGGGATTTTTCTCCATCTGTATTTGAGGGTCCTTGGTGCTGGAAGCAGGCAGACTATAGACCACCTCTCTAGTCCTGGGCTGATTCACCACCAGCTGTGTCCCTGATAGAGGACTATGGGTGGTGGGTGGGATTTCTAAGTAGCATTCCAGCCCTCTCCCACAGTGGGGCAGTCTACCCTTTTCACATGGAGAATGTGGATATGAAATGCATCCTGCTCTAGGGTAAAAGGCACTGGACAGATGATCTGAGTTGTACATCCCTCTTTGCCGTGATTTGCTGCCTAACGCTGGCCCACATCACTACCTCGCTCTATCCACCATTTCTTCATCTCTGAAAATAGAGGACTGGATTGGATGACTGATGACATCCACTGTGGATAGCTACACTACTCTCCTGATGATGAGGCCATACAGATGGTGAAATGTATCTAATACATCAAAAAATGTGCCCTGGGTGTTGGGTTCTCTTTCTTCTTCAGGTCTGCTTTTTCTTCTTGTTTCAACCATGTTAAACATTTCCCCCCACTTTTCTTTGTTCTAGGTTTAGAAGCCGAGCCCACAGAGATTTTGTGAGAGATGCTACTTGGTCTCCGCTCAATCACTCCCTCCTCACCACAGTGGGCTGGGACCATCAGGTCATCCACCATATTGTGCCAACAGAACCTCTCCCAGCCCCTGGATCTGAAAGTGTTGCTGAGTAGATTGGATTTAAGAAAGAAAGTAAACCTAAGAACCCACTCCTTTGCCTCTGACCCCTCCGTTTGTGAGACAACAGAGGAGCCTTGGATGTTATACCCTAGATCTGTGTAGTTCATAGGCATTGTTTCTCAGTGTGAAGGAGGCTGGATTTTGGTATCCTATAGTCACAGGAAGGAAAAACTTTCTTGCAAGTGGATATATATGTGTACTTCAGTGTACATGAAGATCTATAGTTTTTGGTTCTGGGGGAGACTAAAAAGAATTGATTTCCATCTTTCTCAAGCACATCTCTCCCCACAAAAAAAAATCGACAAAAGGATTTTATGCTTCCCGTGTAGTTTTCTATGAATTGGCTGTGTCTGAGTCGGGTATGGGATGTGGGCATCCCTGGGTTCTTGTAAGCTCTTAGGCTACTTAAAGATAGGTACAGCTTTAAATTTTTTTTAATGGAGCTTGATTTACCATTATTACGGGAAATGCTTCCATTTGCAAAAATCCAGCCCAACTACTTGACAAAGAGATAGGATACACTCACCGCAGTTTTGCACAGCTCCTTGCCATTAAACTGAATTGAAGTCCATTTTTAATGGCTGAATAAAGAGTTTGGCTAGTGCTGGTATAATGCCTCCCTGACCCCCATGGCTTTGTGTTTATGAAATATAAGTGTTTTTCTGGCATAGCTTCACAGAGCAAAGTTTAGGGTGGTGGAGAGCTTAAATCATTTCCATGAAGTTAGAAAACTGACATAGACTCTTACAGGGACATCTTTGTCACCTTTGCTACCCCAAAAAACAGCCTGAGGACTGACCTTTCTCTGGACATAGGAAGTCTGCTATATTTGTAGATTCCTAAAATTTTGCAATCCAGCATCAGGGAGAGAATTAGGAATATCGATTGATTAAATAAAGAGTTTAGGCATTGTTTGCCTGTCTTTTTTGAAGCTTTTATGTTATCTGCACTTAGACACATTTCCACTTCTGTGAATTATCAGTGTCAGCTTAGCCCACAGCTCTTTCTCTGCTTCCTCAGTTCCCAGAATAGTTACTTAGAGATGAAGGTGTTTCTTTACTCCTTGGGTTGGATTTAACTGGCCACTGCCATTTAAAATCAGATAAATTACTGATTGTATTGAAACAAAATATAATCAATTATATACTTAGGAACTTTGCAAGTTTAAATTAGGGAAGATCATGTAAAACTGGGGCAGTTTGAATATGGGCAAAATATTTCTAAGTAAAGCTTCTGTATTTCATTCTTGCTAATCCTGAACTCTCTGTTCTCATGGGAATGTGTAGTCATGTGATCTCCCAGAGTTAGGGAAGGGAAAGAATACATTCTTCATTGTTCTATTACTTCCTGGGGAGGAGTAGGATGATTAACTGGAATTAAGTTCTGCTTCTCCTTTGTGACCTTTTTTTTTTTTTTTAAACAAACCAGCTCCTTAAACTTGGAGATAATGATAATTCTTGCTAACCATAAAATCTGTAAGAATTTATGTTTAAGAGTCCAATTAGAACCAGTCAGCAGATAAAGCTTAAATTCTGTGGTTACTTAGAGGAAATAAGGAAGGGGCATAACATGGGCATTATATTTTCAGGATTCTTTTCCTCTTAAGAATAGTGGAGGAAAAAACTTAAGTGAAAGAGATGAGACTCCACGGAAATGTGTGTATGTGTTAAGGTGGATAAAACAGCATTTCAGAAGGAAAAGTTTTACAAGAGAAAAACATCTTTGGCTTCAGATGTATCTGTGCTGATGAGAGCAATTCACTTCTATTAATGATTGCCACAAGACATGAAAACATAATCAAAGTAACGCAGGAGGGACCAGCACAATTTTCAATGTATGTTATGGTGAGCCAAGAAGATAGTTCAAAATAGAAGGTGACCTCAAAATAATCAGGAATATGATGTCATTTGGGGCAATTGTCCATTAGGTCTTTGTCATGGGAAGAGTTTCAGTAGAGTGAGCATGGAATTTGCCTACAACAGGGAGCAATGGAATTGCTTTGTTTAAAAGCATACAAACACCCTGATCTTGGGGAGAGGGTGCAGGATTACCCTTCTTCCCTATCTAGGCTGAGTAATCTTGTCCTGAGGACACCCACCACATGAAGTAGAAATCTCCAAAATTAATAAGTGAATTTTGACCCCTGTTAGGCACAAGGTGGTGGTGGTGGGAGATGTTGCCTTTAAATCACCTCTTTGTCCTTGGGTGTTCACCCACCACATGAAATAGAAATCTCCAAAATTAACCAGTGAGTTGTAACCCTAGTCAGGCACATGGTAGGGTCAAGGGGAGTGTAGCCTTTGAATCACCTCTTGAAAAGCTCTTCTGTTCTCCCTGATAGGTAGAATGGCAGACTCTGGGACAGGTGTCCCCAGTGTATTTCCTTCAGTAGCAAAGCAATAAAACTACTGTTATTCCTTTTTCTTTAAAAAAAAAAAAAATCACACACAAAGGAAAATGTCTTGCATTTAATTTCACTGATTCAAATTTTTGAATGTGAAAGTGAATCCATTCAATTTAATTATTCTGAAGTCCACTATTAGCCTAATCCACTATTCCACTGCTGATTTCTGGCAAGGACTACTCAAGGCTCACTCCTTGAGTAATACTTGGAACCAAAGAACACTGGAGAAGGTTTACCCAGATTTAGCTGGTGTCAGACATTGGGCTGATTCTCAGGGATCTCACTAGCTTCAGGGAATGTAACGAGTTCACAATCACATTATAGCATCAGAAACACCCAAGCTCTAATTGCTGGAACCTCTAGTCATGTTTCCTCAGGACAGCATGTTAGAAAGGAAGGAGATATGGGTGTTAGGGAACAAATGTCAATGGTGGGAACACAGTTCTGTAAACTGGGCTTACTGTGCTGGTCCCCCACATGCTTTCTTTTGCAAGAAGCAATTTATCTGCAGCCCTGCCTGGCTTAAGTGAACAGGATATGTTACATTCCTCAGCAAACTACCTGTTAGCCATAGGAGAAATACAGGCTGAAATGTCAATAAGAGGAACCAAGTTAACCTGAAGGGGGAGACTTTTTGTGACTTTTTTTTTTTTTTAACAAACCAGCTCTTAAACTTGGGAGATAATGATAATTCCTTCTAACCATAAAATCTAAGAATTTATGTTTTAAGAACCAATCAATATGGGCCTAAGTGACCTAAAGTTATCATTGTAGTGGAGACTTGAAAGTCTAATACCATTCTGCTGTCAGTCAAAGGTTAAGAGATGAATCTGGGTGAGCCTCTGGAAACTTCTCTGGGGTACCCAATAAAATAAGTGCAGAAGAGGCACACATCCCTCTTTTTATTTACTTATTTTTTGCATTACAATTCTTAATACATCATTATACAATAATTTATTATATCTCTGATTATATATAAGGTACGGTGACACCAAATTCACATCTTCATACATGTATTTTGTATAATGATGAGGGTCTCCTTCATCCCTCTTCTCTCTAAGAGGACCCACTCCTCCTGGAGAGTGCCCCCCTTTCTCTTTTCCTATCCCTTCAATAAACTCTTGCCAGTTACTTTGAGCTACATGTGTGAATTTTTTTACTTGATTGTAAGAATTTCTTTAGTTCTCAAGTAAAAGACATTTGTAAATGTCAGGAGAATAGGCTAAGCACCGAGGAGGGATATTTTCCAAGTATCCAGGTGGGAGTATAAAGAAAGCATTAATTGCATTTATTTTTCCCTTTGGCAGCAAGAACTCAAGGGAGAGGATTGTGAGCAAACAGAGCAACATGACACTGATTTTCGACATAACGCTCATTCAGCATTTTATTATTCATCATTTGCTATACACACAGAGTTGTAATTGCCAACTCTGGTATTGTCATCCCTGAGTTAAGCAGAGGTCATTCCTGTGCTCCCATTGCCATTTTGGCATTCTTGGCATCATCAATCACTTGTAGATATGGAGAGGTCAGGTCTGAGATGCAGCCACAGGCACTGCAGTAGGATAGGAGCCCAGAGAACCCACTCAGGTGCATATGAACAAGGTTCAGATTGGCAAAGAAATTTGGCTTCTGTGGTGGGTAGAGCATTAATGGTTGGTCCTGGCTGAACTGTGAGTAGAAGGGCAAAAACTTAGTAGGGAACCTCAGTGATGTGGAATCTTTGGTGGCAGGGGATGCAGTGTGGGGTAGGGAGCCTGAGAAGTAGAGAGAGGCAGGCTTTCCACATTAAGAAGGTCGTAACAGAGCCATGAGGCCTCAGGCTGTTCAGTAGAAGGAGCCTGGGATGACTCAGGCCCCAGACCCTAGGAACCAACTGCAAGCTAATGGTTGCAGAACAGGAATAGACATCAAAACAGACCCAGTAACAAAAATTAGAGCAGGCAAGTAGGAATTGGAAAGCAAGTAAGAGCATGGTCATTGGAATTAACTAAACACACCAGGAATCTTCTTCCCAGTGGTAGAAATTGTGCCAAGTCTGACCCAGTGTGGACCTCAGGAGGTGTAATTCTCATCTCTTTATTCAGGCTAATAGTAGTTAAAGGTATGGAGGGCACAGGTGAGACTCAATTGGCCCCAGGTATGGTATATGGTAGGAATGGGATATCATATCTGACAAGAAAACTTTTTTGTTGTTGTTGTTTTCCTCACTGCACCCATAATGCTACTTCTCCAAAAAGACACACTTCAGCTCTAGGGACATGATCAATCTGTTCACTAGACCAAAGAAGAAACTAAGTTTTTAGTGCCAAGCAGGGCCTGTCACAGGCCCAAAGAATATTTTTTGAACTGTTTATTGAGTATATAATGGAAGGCAAAGATGGTGAACAAATGGACACATCATCTCGGTTGGGTGCAGTCCATCAGGATTTCCCAGAGTTTCAGTGAAATATCCCCTCCAAACATTCTGTACCATTGATTATTTTTATTCCATTGTATCCAAGCAAGCTAGTGATTTTAAAACAACAGCTTTCATGGCTTCTTCATACTAGAAATGAAGATAGGTATTATGGAGATTTGATCACTGGTCATTATTATTCCCTGTCGTGTGTTACACTGACATCTGCTTAGTACCTCATGTTGGTACACGTGGATTAGCACAAGTCTCTGAGAGGATGGGTACATGGTTGAGAACTTCTGCATCAGACAAAGAAAACTGATGAATCCTCAAAGCATCTGACTGACAGATCTGTTTTGTTTATCTTCATACTGTTGCTATATTTTTAAAAAATTGATTCTCAGTTATCCAGTATCATATTTACCATGTTCTTTTTTTACCTTGTGAATTCTAGATTTTTTTTATATTTAGCATCCTCTTGAGATTCACGATACATGCTCATTACTGACCCATATACTAGCTCAAACACTGTTGATTCATACAAATGCAGGTTTTTGTCTTCTGTGGAGTAATCAAAGGATCTATCAATCCTGGGCCCATTTCCCTGCAGGACAACCATTTCAAGCTGCTCAGAGTTGCCCCTATTCATACTTATCTCTATTGTCTCCTAAGAGGCTTCATGTCTGTAGATGTTTGTCTTTGGGTTCAGCTGCTATTCTAATAATGTAAAGAGTGCTCCATTTGACATGTTTACATGACCTGCCTGGTGAGTGTCAACATCTGAGTTTGAGAATCCAGCTCTTTTGGGTAACCCTTTTGACATCCCTAATAATAGAAACCATTTATTGAGCCCTTGAGTGCAAGGCCCTGAACTAACAATTTTCATGCATTACTTCTTTAATCTCTATAAACCCTGTAAGATTAGTATGAGCTGTTACCTCCATTTTATAAACTGAATCTCACAGAGGCTAAGTAACTTGTCCATGATTATGAAACTTCTAAACAGTGACAGTGAGATTCAAGTCTTGGATTCAAAAGTCTGAGTCCAAGCTGAATTTTTAAAGTTTATATCACACTGTTTCCCCAACCAATAAACTTGTAACAGTAGTCTTAACTATTTTCATACAGTGTTTCTCCACCATACTCGGTCCACTTGGGGCCGAATACCAGGAAGTGAGACTGAGAACCAGGAAGAGCTCAGGAATGCTGCCCTACCCTTGCCATTGCCCACGGTGGACACTCAGTTTAACTGTGTCAGCCAAGGGCTGCGACTTTGTTGGCTCCAAGATCCACAGCTATTCTGGAGAGGGAGGACAGGAGGTTCTGGGGTCACTGTGACTCTCATAAATCATTGATCCTGGCGTGTGTGTGTGTGTGTGTGTGTGTGTGTAGTTGGCCTGTTCAGGGCTATAGCTAGCTCCTATAAATGGGCCCAAACTTTGGCCTCACAGCTGTTAAACCACCGAGATGGGGAAGTTGTGGCTATGGGTTGGTGAGTATTGACAGTTTCCAGCAATGTCACTCAGTCCGGGAGTTACCAGCCTTCATGTGTGTGTTGTCTCTTCAGTGCTCAGTAGAGCAGCCAGCCTGGGACTCTGGAGGCCTGGATTAGATAGAGATGGGTTGGAATATAGTGAAGGGTCAGAGATAACCGGGAGGGGGGAGGATGGAAGTAGTGGTTCTCCAACCTGGTTGCATATTTGGCGTTTTTAAACCTGGGTTCCACTTTGGCTCAATTAAATCAGAATCTCCGAGGGAAGAGCCAGGATACCAGTACCTTCTACTTTCCATCCACTGGCTTAGAGCTTTCACTGGGACGTCTAACTCCTTGTCCCTGTGCAAAGTGTGTGTGTACAGTACTTTTTATTAGCGAGAAGAGGAATGTCGATCTAGCTCCACTGGCTCAACCTCAGAGGAGAGGAAATGTGTGAATGGTGTGTGTGTCCCCATGTGTGCATCTGCATCTGGACATGGTGCCCCGTTGGTGGGGGCACTTGCTGACTGGATGGTATGTAGGGCATCCCACTCTGGATGTGTACACAAATCTGTGTGTGACTCTTTCTTTCTTTCCTGCAGCTCTGTTTCTTGTAATGAAACACGAGAAAGGTAAGAAAATTGTGTTCTCCCCTCCAGAGCCAAGGAGATTCTCTGGCTGTTGAGTCATCTGCACTGAGTGTCCCTTGCAGCCCCATCCTGCCCAGGCGCCTAGATGGGGGATTACTGATTCCATGCAGCTGCAGTTTGTGTTGCTCACTGTTATGTCAGGATCCAGACCGGAGGGTCCAGTCAGAACAGGACTTCACAACTCATCTCCCCACTCCCAGAACTTGAGTAGTGGGGAAGGGACCGGACCTCAAAAAGCTTTGGGGCATGTGGATGGGGAGAGTGGCCTCTTGGCCCTGCCCCCTCCCTTGATCTCTGCCAACTAATGCATGCTGTCCCTGATCAGGTGCTGCCTACAAGCTGGTATGTTATTTCACCAACTGGGCACCTGGACGCCCTGAATCTGCCTCCACCTTCCCCCGTGACCTGGATCCCTTTCTCTGCACCCACCTGATATTTGCCTTTGCCTCAATGAGCAACAATCAGATTGTTCCCGAGACTCTCCAAGATGAAAAAATTCTCTACCCCCAGTTCAACAAACTCAAGGAGAGGTATGTTCATATTGGAGGTGGGGTTGTATTTTCAGACTTTATAGATATAAGGGAATTAAGCCCATTCTTCCAGTTGCTCTCTTTCTTCTGGTTGTTCCAGCCCTGTCCTCAAGCATTCCCAATTTAAGAATTCCCTGTTACCGACAGGAAGACCTTGAGCTCCTTCTAGCCTCCTTGCCTTGCTAGTTGCTGTTGTCTCCCCCGGAACATGATCTCTCTCCTCTCTGCCTAGCAAACCCCCACTCACCCATTTGAGTCCAGTTGTGAAGATTTCAGATATTAATGATGTTAACATCATTAATGTTAACATCATTAATATCTGAAATTCTGAAATGGTTCAAAGCGGGCATGGACATTGCAAATGCTCAACAAATGTTGAGTGTCTTTATTACCATTTGTCACCTGTAAACCCCAAGCTGCAAGCTCTCCAAGGGTAGGGGCAGTGCCTCCTTTATCTCTAGGTCTCCCAGTCAGTCAGTTAGGTCAGTACCTGCACTGAGTTGGTGCTCAGTAAGTGCTTGCTTAAGTACTCCCCTCCCAGAACTTCTGGGTTCTTTCCCTGCCCAAGGGAGGGTTTGTTACTGCATTGATGGCCATAGGTGGGCAGGGTTGCAGGCTTCCTGAAAGTAAGGAGCTTTCAGTCAGTGGCACAAAGTCATTGCTCAATAAATATTTGTCAGGTAAGAAAAGAAGTGAAGAGAAACATTTCAGACTACTCTTTCTTTTTCTTCTGGAAACATTATGGGACATAGGGATTTGGGTGAACTTTGTGTGGCCTTGGAGTTGTGAAGCTGTGATGACCCTTGGGTTAATTGCAAATCCCTCTTTTCCTTTCCTCCCTGATCCTATGCTCTTCTTTCTCCTTCCCTTCACCAGCCTTCTCCCTTTCCTGTCCCTGTCTCCCATCCCTCATTTCCTGTTGTTATTCCATTGAGTGAAGAAAAACCAATACAACTGTAGCTTCCTGCTGGTGTGAGGACCCAGCGTAGTAACCCTCTCTTTCACATCCTAGGAACAGGGAGCTGAAAACCCTGCTGTCCATCGGAGGGTGGAACTTTGGCACATTGAGGTGAGACCCTGCTGTCATCATCTTCTCTGGAAGGTGGAGCCAGGGGGCTAGACGTGCGCGGGAGCCCGCTTGGCTGCGAGGACAGCAAAGCTAGTGCAGACACCTCCCCAAGTCCTGATCTGGCCCTGGATCAAGGGCTCATGGAGGGCCAATTGCTGGAAGTTCCAGCAGTTGGTGGGAAAGGGAGTGAAAGGAAATGAGAGACAAAAAGGGGTACTCACAAAGAACCCTCAACCTCCATAAGAAGCAGGGGTCTTGCTTGTTTCTGAGGAGAGGAGTTTTGTTCAGGACAAGAAGTATAAACCCAACCCTCCCAGGGCCTGGGGTTTCTCACTTTATAAATGGAGCCAGTGGTATCCACCACAAAGGGCAGTGTTCGAGAAAAGATAAAGCGCCCGTCTTAGAGCTCTGGTCGACCCTGCACCCTCCATGAGGCAATGTGGAGATGGCTGAGGCCTGGGGGCAGGACTTTTAGAGAGAGAGCTGGTGGCCTGGAATGTGTGAGGTTGCCCCTTGCTAGGAATATTCAGATATGAAGGAGAAAGGGTTTCAGGTGTGAGCTAACAACTGGTTCAGCCTGAAACCAGGCTTCTCCTTTCCTGCTCAAACACGTGCCATATGCCAGATGCTGGGCTGAGAACTGTACACATTACCTCGTGGCCACCGGGGAGAAACTTATGAAATGGTTGTTGGTATTCCAAGACAGCAGAAAAAGAAGAGGCCCAGGTATTAAGGAACTTGCCAGATTTCTCCCAAGTGTCTGTCAGAGAGCACCCAGCTGAGAGGTGGCAAGCAGACAATGGAATCCAGGCCCATCTATCTCTGAGTCTGGTTATTTTCTAATCATTATCCACAGAGCACTCCTAGAATTGCTTGAAATTCAGCTTAAGTAGCTCTAATTTTTCCCCAAAGTATCTTCACTTTGGGAGAGAAAACAAACTAAAATAGAAAAAAAAAAAAAAGTCAGTTAAGTAAATGAGGAAAAGGGCCAAGGACCCGAAACCCCTTATCAGATCCCTGACCTCTTATGCCAATTTATGCAGCCCAGGCCCAAATGAGCTCACTGATCCTTCTGGAAGTGCAGGCCATTGGCTTATGTTTCCTCCCCAGTCCAGTCCAAGAAAGAATGTCAGTGCTAGGTCCAGCACAGGGAATGGAGTAGTTACTGGGGAGACAGGAGGGAGAGGCCAAGCGCCTTGGCAGCAGGCAAACTTGCAAGGGGCCCTGAAGGTGGCTGTGTCGCCTCAGCCCTGCTCTCCCTGCAGGTTCACCTCTATGCTGCACACATTCGGCAACCGTGAAAAGTTTATTAATTCAGCTATATCCCTCCTGAGGACACACAACTTTGATGGTCTCGACCTTTTCTTCTTATACCCTGGACTGAGGAACAGCCCCACGCATGACCGATGGAAGTTTCTTATCTTAATTGAAGTAAGTCTAGTTTGGAAGCTCCAGAATCCAGAAATGGTTCTACTTTTGATCATATTTGGGCTCATGGGAGCACAAGGCCGGGCCAGGGGCCGGAGAGAAGAACCAGAATGTTCTTCTATTGCCATCACACTGGAGCTACTGGGCCAACTTGCTGCTGAGCAGGGGTCCTGTGGTTGCTCTTCTCTCTGTCTGTGTGGGGTTTTTGCTCCAGTCCTCTAGCCTAGGTGATGCCTTCTGGGTGCAGTCTCCTGGTCTCCCTCAGGCAGTTTATTTGCCTCCCTCTGGCAAATCCCTACTTGCTGGCTCATCTGTCTTCCTCACACGCTGTGGGCAGGGCCTGTTTCTGCCTCACCATGGTGTCCCCTGATGGTGCTCAAGGAGCTCAGTCAAAGTTTCCTGGATGATGCTTTCTTTCCGGGACTGTTCTGTGTGGTTCTTTCTTCCCAGGAGCTCCTCAGTGCCTTCCAGAAGGAGGCCCTTCTCACCCATCGTCCGAGGCTGCTGCTCTCTGCTGCAGTGTCTGGTGCCCCACACATCATCCAAACATCTTATGATGTAAACCTTCTAGGGAGGTGAGTGGGTGTCGTGGGAAAGACAGTAGAGGGAAGGGGGCATCTTGAGCCCAGAACCCAGAGCTGCTCAAGCACTGTTTCAGTCAGCACTTTTTTTTTTTTTTTTTGCTGCTGTGACCAAAAAGACTTGACAAGAACAATGTAGAGGAGGAAACGTTTATTTCAGGGCTCACGGTTTCAGAGGTCTTAATCCATAGACAGCTGGCTCCATTTTTTCGGGCTCAAAGTAAGGCAGAATATCATGGTGGAAAGGTGTGGTGGAGGAATAAAAAAACACGATGCAGCAAATGCTGGCAGCAGAGGGCAGATGAGCTGACAGCCATGAGCCACAAAGCCCCAAACAGGAATTCCTAGTCACACAGAGTTTTCAGATCAGATCTCCATGGCAAAAGTTAAAAAGGTAAACATGAATAGCACATAAATCTTTCTGAACAAGCTGGCTGTGCGCAAATTTTCTTGAATCTCAACAATAATGTATTTACAAATGAGGTAACAGATTCAGAAAAAGAGAGGATGTGGTGTTTCTGATTGTGATTGCACTAGAGAGAGCTGTTTCAGTGTGGGAGGAAAGGCAAGGGACCCAGTGAGAACGGAGTTGGTTTGTGGGAATCTTTTATTCATTCATTCATTCATTCATTCTAGGTTAGTGTGAATCTTGTAGCTAGGCAGGATTGAGAGTCCTGCCTTCACACAACTGGGTGACATTAGGCAAATTAGTTACGCCATCTGAGTTTCAAATTCTTCCGCTTGAAAATGGAAAAAGGCGTGGTACTTAGGGAATTGGCCTGATAAAATTAAATTAGGTGATCAGTGTAAATCCTTACACCTCTGACCTGGCACATGCTCATGTCCACSTGATCATTATGAAAGTCTTCTGGAGGGGTGGGTTCCAGTGGCTCCTTGAGGGGTAGAAGGACAAAAGCGTTTCTGCTGCTATAGGACAGTGCTGCTCCTACTCGTGGTGATTTCTGCAGACCTCTGATAGCACAAGTGAGGCCTGTATGTATTTGCTTTCTTGTCTGATTCCTGGCTACCTCCTCAGATACTCTCAGGATTCATAGACCCTGACGCACAGTTGTCCCTAACCAGCAGTTTTTTTTCCATCTCTCAGTGGCTGGCACAGCCTGGACAGGCCCTGAAGGCAGGAAGAGCAGGGACACCCAGGTGACCACGTGCACCTCTGTAGCTAGTGAGCACGATGATGATCTGAATTGAAACTCTGCCCAGCCCAACCTTTGCATCTCCTTTTCTGTGCCTTGTCTTTCAGACTCCTGGATTTTATCAATGTCTTGTCTTATGACTTTCATGGAAGCTGGGAAAAGTTCACAGGACACAATAGCCCCCTGTACTCTTTTCCTGAGGACCCGAAATCTTCGGTAAGAGAAGGGAAGATCTCAAGTGGCCCAGACATCTTTCACTGAGCCCAGGACATTGGCACTTAGTAACAGGGAGGGTTATGTTCTTCTACCTTTAGGCATATGCTATGAATTACTGGCGGAACCTTGGGGCACCTTCAGAGAAGCTCATGATGGGGTTCCCCACCTATGGGCGCACCTTTCGCCTCCTCGAACCCTCTGATAATGGGTTGCAGGCTGTAGCAACAGGACCAGCGTCTCCAGGGACGTACACCAAGCAAGCTGGCATCTTGGCTTATTATGAGGTGATGGGGTTAGGGACCTCTGTGTAGCTCCCAACCTCAGTTATTAATCYATGGCCAATCTTATTTCTTCTCTGTTCTCTGCCTCCTGCTTCCCCACTAACAAGGTTATTTTGAGGCAATTCCAATATATCTTTTATTACTGGTTCTTTTTCCTCTACTCCAGTGCCCCCTTAATAGACATGTACCCAAGGGAATGTAAGACATGAGAGGAGATGATAAGAGGCAATTGAGTGTGTGGCAATAGAGATCTGGAAAAGTCTTATGGAGCAGGTGGACTCTGAGCAGATTCAAAGCACAGGAGAATCCTGATGCACAGATATAGGACTGGTGTGCAAAGACACAGATGTGGAGGGCACCAGATGCAGAACTAGAACCTTCCCACAGAGAGTAGTGGAAGTGCTGAGTGTCCCTCCAAACCCTGCTCTATGCTGGATGGCTGAAGGTGTTTTCCTGTTAATTCAGTGAAGCATGGTTATGAATGGTGGCATAGTTGAAATAATGTTTTGGAAGGAGATCATGTGTCAAAGAGACTTTAACAGAATATTTAAAGCTCTGAAGAAAAAAGAATGGCTTAGACATTAACTCTGTAGCACAACTTGAACCCCTTTACTTCCTTGCRGTATAGTTTCCAGCACAATGCCGAGCATCCAGTGGGCACCATACTTGATGGATTGTAGCAGCCTGGTTGTCCCTGCCTTCAAGACCTTTAAATATCTAGAGGACCAAGAGCTAGTTTAATAACTGCCTATGTAGTCAAGTTTGTATTGAGAGCAAATTAACTGAGGAGAGACTTGTTTATGAAAACACTCTGAAAAAGAGACAGGTCTGGTCAAGGGTTAGGTATGACCCTCTTAGAACTTTGATGCTGGTATTATTTACCAGACCCTGGCTTGGCCTCTTAGRCAGCTCATGCAGTCCTTGTTCTCTCTCTTTTTCCATCATGAATACCAAGGAAGAAACAGGTAAAGGGAGAAACTTACTTGGGAGGGGGTGGGGGAAGAGGTCCTTTGTGAGCGGTGGGAAAGCCTACATCCTCATTCCCTGGGGAGGTCTCTGGCATTCTCTGCCCCAGGGCATGGTGCTTCTCTCCATGGCACTTCATGGACCTCACCTGTGGTCCTCTTGGCAGATTTGCTCCTTTCTTGAGAAAGCAAGAAAGGACTGGATTGGCTATCAGCATGTCCCGTATGCCTACAAAGGGAAGGAGTGGGTTGGCTATGACGACATCAGGAGCTTCCAGGAGAAGGTGAGACCTGACTTCTTTCTTGCTCCAGCATATAGATTCTCATTGGCTTCTATGGACACTCATTTAGATAGAGAGATAGAGAGATAAATTATCTAGATAGATAGATACACAGATAGACAGAATGTGAATGAGAAGTATGTGTGCAGCATCTCATAATCCCATCTAGTCCAATTCTCTAATTTTGAAAATAAGCAATTTCAGTTCTGAGGGAGTACATATTTCTCAGTCACACAGCTTTTTAGTGACAATCTTCTCTTTTCAGTTTGGACCAGGTGATTGTACAACAGATRAATACCAATACAGGGTAGATCATCCCAAGCGCTCCATTGAAATATACTGACACGTGGCAGGGATGGGGAAGTCAGGGAGGGCTTCCTGAGGGAGGTGAGCTGGAGGAGGAGGAGATTGCATGGGGGCAAGACTTGTTGGGGTAGAAAGTTTGTCACAGGTTTAAAGAATGTAGGCAAAACAGAGTTTTTTTTTTTTTTTAAATGAAGGATGTAAGTGCGGGTGAAGGAGTTTAGTCTTTAATCTGTGGGCATTTTAAGGGGAAGTTTCTGAGCAGATCTATGATTTGTAAGTTTCTTTGAATTTGACTCCTCTAAGTAAGTCCCTCATATAAGTAGAACCATACAGTATTTGTTATTATTATTATTATTTTTGGTCTGGCTTATTTCATTAGCATAATGTCTTCAAGTTTTCATCCTTCCTTTTTTTTTTTTTCATTACTGGGAATTGAACTCAGGGGTACTTGCCCACTGAACCATGCCCCCAGCCCTATTTTATATCTTATTTAGAGACAGGGTCTCACTGAGTTGCTTAATGCCTTGTTTTTGCTAAGGCTGGCTTTGAACTCGAGATCCTCCTGCCTCAGTCTCCTGAGTTGTTGGGATTACAGGCTTGCGCCACGGTGCCCGGCTGCATGTTTTATCCATGTTGTATGCAGGAATTCTTTTTTTAAAAAAAGTATTTAATTTTTAGGTGTAGATGGACACAACACAATGCCTTTATTTTTATGTGGTGCTGAAAATCGAACCCAGGTCCCGCCTGTGCTAGGCGAGCGCTCTACCGCTGAGCCACAATCCCAGTCCATGTAGGAATTTTTTATCCTAAAATTGTTATTGTTCATTTTTAGTTTTTTGCAAATGAGGAAAATGGGACACGTAGGAATTTAGTAACTTATCMGACATCCCATAGCCAACAAGTGATAGAGACTAGAGTTAAATGCAGGTTACACCCTAAACCACCTGCTGTGTTGCCTCTTGACAGTTCATCTTCTAGTTTTGCTATTGTACCCAGTGTGGAGGATGGGCAGTACAGCATGTTGACTGACCATTACTTTTACAGGCAAAGTTTGTGAAGGCAGARCATTTTGGGGGGGCCATGGTGTGGACATTGGACATGGATGACGTCAAGGGAGCTTTCTGTGGCAATGGCCCTTTTCCCCTTTTATACACATTGAATTACCTCCTGCTGCAAGACGGTAAGTAGTAAGGACCCAGGAACTGTGCTTGGAATTTGCATAACCAGGCACCGGGTGGGTCCATTCTGCTAGGTCTAAATTCTTTGATGAGGTGACATGAAACTGAAGAGAGACAAACTTTGATGTCAGCCAGTGTATTCTGTAATCTTGGTCGGAACGCTTGAACCTTATTTGAGTTTCTTGAGCTTCCTTTGCCCTATCTGTAAAATGGAAATAACTCTTACACTCATCCTTATGAGAACTAAATAAGATATGGAATCAAAACTGCACTAGCTCATTGTTAACACTCAATATATGTTAGTTTATTTTTCTGTTTCCTTCTGCTTTCATGGGCAAGAGCTAGAAAAGGGAATTTGGTTTCTTTTGATATCTCTTTTTTAATAGTAGAGGTTTCCCTGGTGGTTAGGAAATGGAACCCAGCGTGTAAGAGCTGAAAATCCTTAGAGATGGTTTACAATCCTCCTTTTAAGGACAAGACTGGAGCTCAGGCAGGTCAGGTCTTTMGGTGGGCTCCAACCTCATTGTTTACAACATGCCGTCTAGAGCTCCTTGTCCTCAGAGTTGTTCCTGGTGCCTGTACAGATACAGGAGGTTTCTGCTTAAGGATTCAACTAGTAAGGCATAAGGCCTTGAGGGACAGGACTTGCTGGGGGTGCAGTCAGAAGTCCAATTCTGGATTTTTGGAGCAAGTTCCTTCTGTATTGGAGGGGTTCTAGTCCTTCCTGTAATTAGCAGGAAAGGAAGGGAGAGGTAGAGATCTCGTGCTTTATGATGATTTTCTCTAGAGGTCAGCTCAACTCCTTTACCACAGTTTGGGTTCTCATCTGCTATGAATTCTTCATATSTGATTCTGAAAGGCTGGCTGTGACAAAGGCATTGAGCACTGATATTATTAACATTTTTTTTCCCCAGGAAGAAAAGCTGAGGCTCCTGAAGTCCGTGGAAAGCATAAAAATATAACTTCAGTTCCTGGAGGTGGAGTCATGACCCTTGGAAGGGAAACAGGATCCCTTGGAAATCACACTGTCGCTCTATGGGGCACTGCGGTCCCTGGAGCAAGGACTATGACTTCAGTGGACCATCAGTCTGTGACCACTGCAGGGACAACGGAAGCCCTTGAGCATTTTCAGACAGAGACCCTCAGTAAGACAATGGCCCCTAATAAGAAGTCTRTGTTCCCTGAGAAAGTTACTGTCCCCACCAGAAAGATGTCAGTCACCTATAATGGGCAAACTGTGACTCAACAAGGARTGAATTTGAGTTCTGTATGGGAACTGCCCCAGGGTGGGTGAAATTGGTCTSAAGAGGGAAGTTAAATAAGATGCCTCCCAACACACACTCCTCTTACTTCTGACAACCCCTTTATGCCCACTGAAGGGAACCATTCCTATGTCCACTAACAACCCTTCCAACAAGTGCTCTCTCTCTGAAAGAAGAAAACACTACTGTGGATCAMGGAGCCTAAGCTCTGTGGATGGCAAACTGGAGCAAGCCCTTGTCTTTTCTTCTTCTCTGTGTGATATGATAGAAGCTGCTTGATCCTGGTTGCTCATGGGGTRAAGTAGGCACCAAAGCCACAGTGGGTCAATATTTTTTTTCTGTTGAATAAACTAGAAACACAAGAATCTAACTGAGGTCTCTGAGACTCGTGCCTTAAAATGACCGGTGCAGCTTGCTCCTCTCAGGGTCGTTTCCCCTAGTATTATTTTTGGAAGGGGGTTGTGTCTAGTCTWTAATGGTGCTTTCCATTATTGATTTTGGACTTCCTTCTTCCATTAGCAACTGCTCACTTCACTGTTGGTCAGAGACAGAAGTTCTTTAGGAGATTGTGGGTTTCCCACGATCCTCAAGAGGAGTTGGAAGAGGAGAGGGAAATGGAGGCTTTCAATTATCTTCTCTGCTTGGTCAAATCTCAGTTGTCTATGGAAAAACATCCTCATCTAATCTCTCATTGAGAAGTGATTGAGAARGCAAAACCAAAACTTTTAATCTGTTTTATAGTGTGACTAGTACATTGCTCCCAGGTCTCCTCCAGAGACACCGATTCCCACACTTTAAGCACTGCAGTTTGCCCCGGGAGCATTCTCCTGGGTGTGACCGACTCTTCAAAATTACTATAGAAATGGACCGTGTTCTAGCTCTTCACTTTTAGGAGCCAGTGAGGGTGTAATCACAGAGAGGGTGTAATTTCTCTTACTGATGTTACATATTAGTTCATTTTCTGTTCCTGATAACAATGCCACAAACTGAATGAGGTATCAAGAAAAGAGGTTTATTTTGCATCGTAGTTCTGGTCCAAGTTCAAAAGGCCACATTTGATGATGGCCTCCTTGCTTGCAGTCCCAAGGCAGCACAGGGTATCACATGGTGAGAGACAAGATGTGTGCGTATATGTATGTGTATGTATCTTTTGAATTCTCTCTCTTATAAGCTACCCAGTATTCAACCATGGGGCTTGTACCTTATCAGATCCTAATCCCTCCTAAAGGACCCACTTCTAAACACCGTGGTCGGATTTAGTTTACACCCTCTTAAAACCTCATAATGGGGAATTAAATTCCAACACTAGTGTTAGAGAAGATGAACTATATTCAAATCATAGTGTTCCACCCCCTGGTCTCTAGTAACTCATGTCCATTTTATTATTTACAAGGGCCTCAAATGTAAAGATACAGAAAAGTTGAAAGTAAAATGAATGGGAAAATATACTATTAACAAAAATAAATTATTTGAACTACATGATATGATTAAAATAAATTTTAAGGCAAAAAAAACCCTACTAGAGATGAGAATTTCTATTCTGAGCACATATAAGGAATGATTGTTCTTGCTACAACTAGCAAAAGTCAGCTAAATTACAACAACCGTATGTTAAATGTATCTGAGAGCTGTGGAAATGACCAGGACAAGGTGAACCAATAAAATCCCCGAGAGTATAGAACTTTTCTGAGGTAAGATGAACATGGGCAGTCATCTTTATTCTCTGCAAGCACTTACCAGTTCTGCACAGGGGCTGGGATGTAGCTAATGAAAAAATGATAGATAAGGAAAGAGGTCAGCAGAATATTTAAAGGTCACATGAAAATAAAATGACATGGAAAAACTTAAAAGACCCCAGATACGTGGCCAAATTTCAAAAGTATTTGCAAGACTTAGGAGTTGTGCAGGAGGTTGGCAAACCTCACCAAAAGTTTTTGAAAGGCAGAGTGAATTCTTTTAATAGTCTCCTGATGTTAAGGGAACAAAAGACATGTCATGGGACGGGATCTACTCGAAACAAGCGCTTCCTTCAGGATCTGAAGTTGCATGGGTCAGGAAGACGGAGAGTGGGTCTGGGAACTTCTCATGGGGAGAGTTGAATTCCCTTCCATCTTTTAAGACTTACAAGATTGATATTACCAGTTCTCAAACAAAATCCTGAGGGAGTCACATCAAAATGACAGGGGCAAATTAGAAATAGATGAACTTAACCTCGACCCAGGTCAATCCCTAAATAGATTGGGAAGGGGGCATGGGGGCAGGAAAGATGGTGGAATGAGATGGACATCATAACCCTAGGTACATGTATGACTGCACATATGGTGTGATGCTACATTGTGTACCACCAGAAAAATAAAAAGTTGTGCTGTAATTGTGTACTATGAATCAAAATGCATTCTGCTGTCATATAGACCAAATTAAAATAAATAAATAAATTTAAAAATAAATAAATAGGTTGGGATTAGCTGGCCATTGTCCTATTTGTATAACAGGTTTCTAGTTAAAGGTCAAATATTCACTTATATACACTTAAAAATGACAAGACATGCAAAGAGGCAAGAGAATATTGTTAAGAATTAAGAGAAGAAGTATCCAGTGGGAACAGACTATAGGTGACTGGAATCATAGCATTGCATATAAATAGACCTTAGAATAACAATGATTTTTATGTTAAATAAAACAGAGGAAGAGATCAACAAGATAGAATTGAGAATTTTACCCTATAATTAAAATCTGTAAAAAATGAACTAAATTACACATGTTCAGTAAAAGACAGGCACTAGAATGATGCTAGTTCATAGAAGTTTCTGCCATGGTGATGTTTTATAAACAGCACTTGAAATGTGGCTTATGAAACTTCAAGGAAGTGAATTTTAAATTTTATTTAATTTTGATTCACTAGAGTTAAAATTTCAATAGCCACAATATTTAGAGCTACCATATTGGACCACACACACTAGAATAGCAACACTATTATGAATACTTGAAAACCTAAGACTTCCCAAATGACAATGTATAGCAGAATGAATAAACAAATTGTAGTATACTTTCATTGTGAAATACTACACAGCAAAAAGAACRAATCATTGACAACTACTATGTGGATGAATTTGAAAACATGACATTGATTCAGAGAAGACTAATGCAATAGAGTACATATATGGTACCATTTTTTCCTTTTCTTTGGTAGCAGGGATTGAATTCAGGGATGCTTAATCACTGAGCTACATCCCCAGCCCTTTCTATGGATTTTTTGTTTGTTTTTTGTTTTAAATTTTGAGACACATTGTTATCAAGTTGCTGAGGCTGACTTTGAACTTGAGATCTTCCAGCCTCAGCCTCCTGAATAGCTGGGRTTATAGGTGTGTGCCACCATGCCCACCTGCATGATGCCACTTTTACAAAGTACAAAGCCAGACAAAACCAATAAGTTAGTATAGTACTTGCTCTTGGGGCATGTATGTAGAAAGGAGCACAGGATACTTCTAGAATGCTAGTTACATAACAAATTCTTCTTTTTAAAAATATAGGAATTACTTACTCCTGAGAAGCATTGCCTGTGAATTTGGGGCTGACTCCTCCAAGGCAATGTTGCTTCTTTTACAACTATTGTGTTAGTTAGGTGTTCATTGCTGTGACCAAAAAACCTGAAGAGAACAACTTAGACAATGTATGGTCGATTTATTTTGGGACCACGGTATCAGAGGTTCAGTTCATGGTCAGCCAACTCCATTGCTCTGGGATGAAGGTGAGCAGAGCATTAYGGACAAAGGGTGTGGCAGAGGAAAAACTGGCAACTGTGAAGCAGAGAAAGAGCACGTGAAGGGCCAGGGAAATATAAATGCAGTGCCCTACTTCCTGCAGTCACACCTACCTGTCTACAGTTAGTACCCCATTAGTCCATTCAAATTWTTAACCCACTGATTAGCTACAGCTCTCATGAACTAATCATTTCATCCCTGAACATTCCTGCATTAACACAGGAGCTTTGGGGAGGCACCTCATATCCAAATCATAACAGCTATAAATTGCACTCCTCCTTGGTGGGAGCATTTGTGAATAGATAAGAGGAAGGCATGTGAGCTGATTCTAAGCTGCAGAAATGATAAGGAAGAAGAAGTTATGAGGCAGAAGGCTGCTGTGGACAGGAGAGTTGTGTGTATGTGTGTGTGGAGTGTGTAGAGGGAGAAGTTGTATCCCGGGATATTGCGTATYAGAAGTGAGATGGAAGAGATCAAGAAAGCACACAACGGAAATACACTATAGGTGACTGAAATCCTAGCAAATAGATGCAAGGTCTACATGCAGATAGACCTTAAAATAACTATGATTATGTTGAAGAAAATAAAGAGATCAACATAATAGATGATGGAAAGGATCTTTAAAAGTGTTACTATTTTCTTGTCTTACTTTTCCATACCACCACATCCCTACTTCATCACCATCTTCATATATATATATATATATATATATATATATATATATATATATATATATATTTACTATATATAAGTATATGTATATATGTGTGCTCACGCACACAAAGTGTTAAGTTTTGCTGTGCCTAGCAAAACAAGGAGTTCTATGAGAAAGTATGAACTCTTTGAACTGTGTCCTTGTTTTGCTGTCTTAAGAAGATAAAAGAATGATCTGCTAAGTGTAAAATATATATATATGTGTGTGTGTGTGTGTGTGTGTGTGTGTGTGTGTGTGTGTGTGTTTGCCTGGGAATAACCAACCACAAGTTAATTGATAAGAAATACGGAGCACTGTGACCATAAACAAAGTTTTCCTGAGAATGTTTATCCATGCTTGTAAGGATTAAGCTGCTGAAAGGATGTTTTTTCTTTCCCCTTGTTTTAATTAACAATGCTGTATAAAAGAAGGAGAGAAAAAAGTGAAGACGGTGCTCATTTCTACTGGATGTGTGTGTGTACATGTGTCTTTCTTTAAGCATCTCTGCTGTACCAGGAATTACAGATTGTCAGCGGGTCTGACATATATATGTATGTTTATTTTATATATAATAAAC